CTCCTACCTCTCCAGCCCAGTTTGCCACCCCGCCCCCAACACCCCATCCTCCACACAGGGACAATCCCCATTCACGTGTGCTTCCGAGGGGAGTCAGTGTCAGCAGGAGATCAGTGGAGGCCAACACATTCTCTGCCCGCCTTCACCCAGGAGGGATTCCACACCCTGCATTTCCCACCCGGGAACCAGCCCCCGCCATATGCTCCCTCCACCAGCCCCCAGTGCAGCTGTTTTAATAGCCAGGGACAGTGTGCACTCCAGCTGTGAGACAACAGGTGTGCTGGGGTGTAAAGTGTGTTTAAACGACTCCGCTCATGCTCCTGCGCGCATCTGTCACCAATTATAGCAACGGAGGCTTGCTCACCAGCACGCCTGTAAGTGCAGGGAGAACACCTGGAAGGCTGGCCTGGAACCAGACTTGGAATCTGTGGAGGCAACATGGGCTATGATCGATCTCGACCCCGTGCAAACCGCCACACACACACACACACACACACACACACACACACACACACACACACGGTGCCTTGGGTAATGCAGCAAGCAGATGGTTGCCATCTCTGGCCCAGTGACTGACAGCCTGCACGGGTGGGGCATTCTGGGCCAAAGGGATATCACTGGGCCTGCAACGACGTGGTTTTTCATTTTGCCAAGCCTGGAGCATGGCCTCTGGTGTTCAACCAGAGCACTAGGATGGCAGCGCCCTTCGCCAGAACTTGCCAGGATCCTTCAGCCGTTGCCCCACTGATCTACCACCACCCTCTTCTTGTTCGAAACACACAGGTGGGTGCTGTGCACGTGGGTCTCCTCTTCGCCGCCCTCAGACGTGTCTACCCTTCCCGCTTCCCCTGTGAGAGTGGGGATTTCACGCCCCAGCATGCTTGCTGGTTGGCTGTCTACAAGCCCAGGCTGCTCTTTCTCTACACCATGGACATTTCCACACAGTTTGCAAGGCGTTGGGCAACCAGGCTGTGCTTTGAGAAAAGCAAAAACTGAACACGACTGGCTTTTAAATAATGATGAAGAATCCAGGCCCTTTCCAGCCCTGTGGATTGGACTGCAGGCTGCGAGGCTCTGGTGCTCCACCGGAGAAAAGAGGCTTTTCACTCCCACAAGGAGGGCCGGTCTGGAAAGCCCCAGTGGGCTTTGCACTGCCCCACGAGGGCCACAAGTGCGGATCGACTTGTGGCAGGGAGGCTGGTTTTGGAACCCTTTGCTGTCTTCCCCAGCAACCATGCGAAACATCAGAGGGATTAAAAGCTATGTATTGACAGCCTGAGAGAAGGCACCATTTTACTGCCCATGCCCAGTGATTCTCTCTCTCTCACTTCCTCCCTCCCTCCCTCCCATTCATTCAACAAGCATTTGCTGGGCCAGCAGTAGGTACCAGGCCTTAAGTGAGGGAGGGAAGGTCCTTAACCAACCTGTGCCTGATTATGCACAGCGAGGTTTGCATCGATTGGGGAGCGGACCACCGGTGCTCAGAGGGACAGGCATGGGCGTGACTGGCCATAGGGAGCCCTGGAAGGTGGCAGCCCTGGTCCTGCTGAGGCTGTGGGGCCCTGTAGGAGGGTCTTCCAGCTCATGGAGGTGTGGGGAGGAATGGGGGATTGGGAGCGAGCAACGACCTTCTCTCCAGAGCCAAGTCCGTCAGCAGCCCCATGGCAGTGTTCGCCTTCTTGTCCGAGAAGTCAAGGAAGGACAGCAGGGCTGTCAGCAATCTGCAAAAATCCACCAGTGCTGCGCTCAGACCCACCGCGCTCCAGCAAGGCAAGCTTGCCAGACACCGGGAAGGGGTCGGCGTCAGGGTACAACACGGGTGAGAGGGTGGCCTGGGCTGGTCTTTCTAGGAAGTTCATTCATCCTGTTTGAATGACCGCCCCCGACCTCCCGCCCCACTACCAAATTCCCAGAGTGCTGAGCGGTTTGACCACGTTTTCCTGACGTTTGAACAATGTGGTAAAACACCACATTGACAAGTGGGGTGTTCCATGGCATTAAGTACATTCACACTGTGGTGCAGCCATCACCATTACGTACAGAACTTTTTTGTTAACCTCTCCGTACTCACACAAAAAACATCGTGTGCGCATGAAGTAGTCACTACCCATTCTGCCTTTACTCTGGCCCTTCTGTGGCCAGAGGTGGGTCTGTTCAGGGTAGTTCATGTAGCTGGAATCACGCACACGGCTTCCAGCATCATGCTTTCAAGGTTCGGAGCATGTATCGGCACCTCGTTCCTTCCGGTGGCCTAATAGCGTTCATATTCTGCTCACCCATTCATCAGCTGACAGACGTCTGCCTTGTCCTGACCTAAGTTTCTTGGTAATCAGATGCCAATTTGGAAGGATGCACTGGGGCCTCTGCCACGGTCCAGATCAGTCACTTAGCCGGCCTCTAGAAGGTGTGCTTACTGCCCCACTGACCACTCAAGCTGGGAGGGCCCCTGGCAAGCAGGAGGTGGAAGGCAGATTCTAAAAGCTTCCAAGGGAGATGCAGTTTTACAGGGTGAGACTCCACGCCTTCCGCTTAGAGCTGGAAACCCTGCATCAGCAACCGAAGTGGAAGACCTGGCTTGGAACTGGTCCCCGTGGAAAAGAGTTCAAGGCTTTTAGCCAACTGCAACCACTGTATGTGCACTCCGGTGCAGCGGC